CACTCGGTGCTTGCGCGCACTATTGTTGTACATCGGAGGGGCTAGTAGTCTTACGAGATCACACCAACCGCGTTTGTGGTGTGGCCGCCACCGTGTACTGGAGGGAAGAAGGCCCGCGGTGTTTCGGCTAGAAGCTTAATAGTGAAGACGGCGGGGAGCGGTCCGTGAGAGGCTTGCCGGAAGGCACACCGGAGACCCAGTTGCGCGTGGGGGAGGTCCGGGGCTATCCACGGAGTTACCCGACTGGGAGCTTGGCCCTTGCGAGGGATTCCTTACGAGGGCCTCCAACGAGGACTAGGGGGAAGCTTGCGCGCTTCTCGATACCTCAGTAAAAATACCATAGTCATCGATGAGAGTTTGCATATCTCTACCTTACTCTTTAGCTTCCACATTTACATTGTTTGCATAACTCCTTTTGCGGTAGAGATAGCAACACACTAACAAAACCATAGTTGCACATTTAGATAGTTTATCTTTTGCATAGGTTTTGCTAAGATTAGAAAAAGAAGTCATAGTTTAGAGTTAGAGTTTTAAGTTACCTAATTCAGCCCCCCTCTTAGGCATCACGATCCCTTTCACAAGTTACATGCTCAAGATGGCTATGCTCAAGGAGAAAATCAAGATTGACATGATGACACCCTCACTTGATGAAGATTGAAAGTTATGGCATGTGATTCAAAGGAGATCAACTCAAGTGATTCAACTTCTAATTTCATTTGATCTTGAGTTAATAGGTATGCCGTACTATTAAGAGGGATGCATCATGTTGATAGATAATTATTCATAAGTGCTCAAGCTAATCCATGTGAGGTTTGAGTGAAAGAGAGAGCCAAGTGCTAACTTGCTGTGCTGCAGGTCCAAATACCGGACGTGGTACGATATCGGACGTGTCCGGTATTGGCCTGTTCGTGGCAACCCTTTTTGTGTTCACGGTTTGGTACGTCGGAAGTTCCAACTAACGTCGGGAGTTCTGGGAATCGTCGGGAGTTTCAACGCCTCACACGTGCCACTGACTTAGTGACCGTTGGTAGTGTGCAGGCAATGCCGAACGTGTCCGGTATTGATACCGGATGTGTCTGGTATTCCAACGGCTAAAAAACGGCTAGTTTTTGAGTGAGGTCTATAAATACCCCCAAGCCTCCACCTTTGGAGGTTGCTGATTCTGCTGACTTCTATACACGTTTTTGAGCCTTGAGAACACTGTCCAACCCTCTCTTAGTGAGTGATTGATCCATATTGCAAAATCCATCTTGTGGGTTGAGTGAGATTCAAATTGAGAGCAAACCATCCTTGAGCACTTGTGCATATTTATCGATCTCGTGATTTGTATTGTTACTCTTGGACTCTTCGGTCCTAGACGGATAGGCATTGCTGGAGAGCACCCAAGAGATTGTGGTGTGCCTCGAAAAGTTTGTAACGGTTTGATTCCACCGCCGTAAGGGAAGGGATCAACTAGTGTAAGGAGAAAAATGAGTTGGAAAAGACTCTGGCTAGAGTGACCTTCGTGGTCCTCTAGAGCCGACCTTCTTTCGGTCACTCGCAACCCCCTCAATGGAGAGTAGGACTCGACGGAGTCTGAACTTCGGTAAAACAAATATCGTGTCTCAATTCGCTTTCATTTGATATTTGTGATTCACTTGTGGTATTCGAGCTTGCCTGCAGGTTCTCTATGTGTCTCATTATCTATAGCAGGCACTTGCAAGTTGGATTGAAGTTCAGAATAAAAAATAGCAAGTTTGGGCTCAACCTACAGAACCCGTGTATACCGGAGTCTGGTATTGGAGGACTGAGCCAACTTTATTTGTTCGTTGCTCTAACTTTGTGTTGCAGGGTTATAGCTCCTAGATACTTTCTAATTACCTTGTATACTTTGTGTTCCTCTCGTGAGGGGTTTATTTCTCTAATTTAGAATTTTCGAGACATTGGAAATTCTTATTCTAATCGTTTCCGCATTTTAAAGGGTTGAACTTTTAAAAACGCCTACCCCCAAGCGGCATCCTCGGTTCTTTCAGCAGGGTAGTGGCAAAATGCGTTGAGATTCAGATGTTGTTCTGTGCATTTCAGTTTGCTGATTCTACTGAAGTTGGTAGATTCAAAATGGATTTCATTCCCGGTATCCCAATTTAGAATTTTGATACTACTTCTATTTAATAAAGTTTCCATAGTTTCCATAGCCTAATTGTTTCTAGCACAGTTTGTTTATCAGTTTTGTGCTAATGTGCGCTATGCCCCGGCGCCATGCAGGGCAACGCTGAGTTAGCAAAGGGGCAAGCTAATTATGCAGCGCAACTCACGTTCAGTGTTGCTCCATATATTGATGCTTGGTCTCATTGCAGATTGCACTACCCATGGCAAGCCATAAAATGATTGGTCAATACAGGTACACCGATTATATCAGTGTCATGTGATCTCATACCAGTGTGTCTTATTCTCATTTAACCTCTCTTTACATTTTGAATCTACCAACTTCAGTTTACTGCAGTCCATACCAAGAACAAAAAGTGATCTCTAAGGTGTCTAATGATGAATAGAGAGAATGAATAGTTGTAAAGAAATCAGATTAGTTGAATAGAGTTACAGTTCAGTTTTAAGCAGTATATCAACACAGGACATTATGAATACCACTATTTATTTTATGAAAGGCACACATGATTAACTTTATTTACAATACAACTCTATTTATATTAGTTAAACATTACTACCTATACACCTCAATAATTTGCTTTATGACTCATTGCATATATTATGAATATGTCTCAATACAAAGTATTCATAATTTGCTTATATATATTGTTTGTATTCCTATTTCAGGATACAGATAAACCAAGTGGAGCTATTGCTATTGTTGCTGGGTTTCTATGTGGGATCAACCGATCTTGTCCCACCTCATCCCCTGTACCAAACAATACTGTGATTTTCAATATGAAATAATTGTTTAGCTTCTTGCTGTCGATCAGTAGTTTCTCATTTTTTTTAAAATAATGAGCATAATCTGTTATCATCGCGTTTTGGGATGTGAAATATATGGTACTTGATCCTCAGAGTCACAATCCTTGTTTTCTTTTAACATGTTCTCAAGGAGAAGGGTGGCAAGATCGTTGTTGTTGATGCATTCAAGGGTAGGCAGATCATCGGCTTGCTCTTGAGCTCGCATAAGAAATCTAGACCTCTAAGATTGAAAACACTGAATATATCTTAACTCAAAAATACATCCATTTAATAAATAATAGAGTATAAAAAAGGCACCGATCAATATCAGGTGGTATTGTCAATGTTTGTTATTAAAGAATACATTCTTTCAGATGCATCATGGATGCAGCTTTTATGTTTATATGGAACTTATTTAGGGTGTGTTTGGTTCGAGCTACTAAATTTTAGTAGCTACTAAACGATTTAGTCGCTTTTAGTAACTCCAGAGTTGCTAGAGAGGACTAAAGTTCTTTTAGTAGCTTTTAGTCATAACGTTTGGTTAAAAAGTTACTAAAGTGACTAAAAGCTACTAAATTTAGTAGCTACTAGGCGAATCAAACAGACCCTTTACTAGAGCTTATTTAAAATCGATCAGACACCTTAGGCATATTATTGAACTTTATTCAAACTGGTTTCACAATAGCAGCACTCCATGTAGCCGCGCGGCAACGCTGCGAGTTGCTTTCTAGTACTCAGATCGGAGAAAATAGAGCCGGGGAAGAAAGGAAGTCCATGGACCCGAGAAACGCACACCACGATCTATCTTCTGGGCTGGGCTGCTTAACTGGACCATTCCCCTCCGGTCCAACGAGAGTTGGGCTTGCTCGCGCGATTACTGCGCCGAGGGACATTCTCCTGTTCCTCATCCAGCAACACTGGAACTTGAAGCTCTGGTGGAACAGCAGTCACACACTCACACCTGACCACCTTGCTGATCCAAGCCACCTAGACCTATATGCGTTATGGTTGCATATACCACGGTCTGCAGCTCTAGAGAGGATGCCAGCACCATCAATGGATGTAATTCCTTGTAGATCGAATGCCGATGATGGCCAGTCACAGTCACAGCCCCATGCAAAGGCAAAATAAAAGTTCAGAGATGGCACATGGAGAACCATATGTGAGAATCCTCTCAAATTATCTTTCTCTACCCAAAACCAGAAATAAAGTATCCCATGTGTTGAATTATTGATGAATTAGAAAATATACATTGAGGAATATTAGTGAAAAATATATAATGCATCATTACTGTATTGCTCCACCACGTCATGAAATTTCTCAAATTAGGCATAGCCCCTCAAGAAACCAATGTTCGTGGCCCACAAAGACAAATAGCGCAACATCTGAGTATGAGTTTATCAAGCCGTGGCACCACATTTGTGCTTATGCTGGCTATGTGTTTTATGCACCAAGTATATACTGGTTAGGAATAGACAAGGATCTCTGTGACTGGTGCTAATTCCATAAAATAAACCATAGGACATTCTTGCCTAAATAACCGTGTGTAGTCTACTATTTTCTACCTACTATTCTCACTTATTACAATGATAGTTGTGAAAATAAGCAACCAAAATACATGTTCGTGGGTTGTTTTGTAGTGAACAATAAATCTTGGTATAAATTATTTAATAGTTTAACCTGAAATAAAGCATCCCTATTTCTAATCCTATATATATGCAGATTGCAGACCAAGATTGTTTAAACTGTGATTGCTGTCATATATATACATCTCAATCACACACAAATATATTCAAACCATGAAAGTCAAAGAGAACATAGGACCTTAAAAAAACATGCAAGGACATTAGAGCATCTCCAAGAGTTCCCTAAACATTCTCCTAATCCTTGTTTTTTAGAAAGATGGGGAAAAATTATTTCCAATAATTCATAATATTTACTCCTAATCTTTTAGGACTTGGGAAATTCCTCCCCCTTTCATGTAACTTTACGCGGACGAAGCCACGCGCGGAGACGCCGTTCCCGCGGAGTCCTTCTTCCCACGCCTTTCCCACCTTCCCACCTTCTTCCCGATGGACGGCGGGTTCGTGGCGCCGAGCGACGGATGCGCTCTGCCCCTCTCCTGTGGCGCGCTCGGGCTCTGCACGCCCAAGGGCTGCACGTGCCCACCCTCGTTCGCGGCGTCGCGCGACAGTGATTGCGCGCCGTCTGACGCCTCCGCCCCGCTGTCCGTCTCCTCCTGCGGCGGCACTGGTGGCGGTGGCAATAACAGCTTGCCGGTCTCATACCTCAGCCTTGGCAATGGCGTCGAGTACTTCGCTAACAAGCTGGCGCCGCCGACCGTGTCCGGCGACAACGTTTCCTCATGCCAGACTCTGTGTACCAGCAACTGCTCTTGACTCGGTTACTTCTACGACGACTCGGCGTTGTCTTGCTACTTGGTGCAGCACCAGCTCGGTTCCTTGATGAATGCCGACTCCACTAAAGCCTCCGACAAGCTCGGCTACATCAAGGTCCAGAGCTCGCAGCTATCGAGACCATCGAGCAATTCGTCCTCAAACAGCACCCTCATTGCCATCCTCCTCCCAACAGTGGTCGCGTTTGTGCTCATCGTCGTCGTCAGCGCCACCGTGATCAGGGCGTGGCGTAAGGAAGTGGAGCGCTCGTCCCGCTCCAGGGACATGCAGCTCCGGCGGATGCAGGCGGCGGCGGCGGCGTGGATACGCGCGGCGACGAAGAGGTTCACGTAGAAAAATAGAAGACTGTAGAAAAAAACGTCACATGGGATCGGTATTTGATTTTTTAGAAGTCAAATATTAGGAACTATTGAAGATAAACTTCTTTTTTTCTCATAAAACCTTGTTAGGAGTTGGCAAACATAAATTTTTTAGGAGAAATATTTAGGGAACTCTTGGAGATGCTCTAAGGAACTATTGGAGATTAACTTCTTTTTTTCTTCTAAAACCCTTTTAGGAGTTGACAAACATAGACTTTTTAGAATAAATATTTAGGGAACTCTTGAGATGCTTTTATACCTTTTTTTTCCTTCTAATTATTTTTCTTTTATATAAACAGACCCAAAAAGTGAGTACCAATACATAACTCAGGCATTCATCAATCATGCATTCATTTTTTTTTAATTTTAATGCAGGTGCTTGAAATTAGAACAACGGGACACATGTGAATTTTACAGAAGTCAGGAGTGACAGTTAATACATGCCGATGACACTGATCGTAGTCGATATTATTGACTGAAAGGTAATATGTACAAACTATACAATTTTTTTCACTGGCCATTTATTAGTACCAAAATAAATTATCAAGAACTGGGAGCCAACTAGCATCACAATTCACAACAACCAATCAATCTAGGAACTTGTTGCTAGGACACTGAACTACTCTGGATGACTATATTGAAACTTCGGTTCAAAGCATTGCCTAGAAAATGAGAAGGCGGAGATGACTAATGGTAAAAGAAATTATCGTCACCACTTGACTCCAATTTTTTGCAGCAGTCGGCTCGTCTCCTTTCTAACCATATATTTTTCTCTTTTTTTTTTTGAAAAATGTGCAGTACGAACCTGAAACAGATGAGGCAAGGTAACTGACAAACTTCTTTCTTCAATTGTTGCGTTACTTACTTCAACACAATACCTGTTTTTTAATATATTTCAAACTATTGTAACAAGCCAGTTGAGAATCTTCTTATATGAATCCTGCCTCCAAAAGCTGGCCAGCCAGCGTGCCACGTCGCGTGCTTTTCAAAGCCGTTCGATCGAAAAAACCTCGAGCTTTAGTCGAATCAACCTGCAATTTAGACATCCTCTTAGGGTTTTTTTTAAAAGCCCTTGAACTTTACCGAAATCAACCCTCGATCTAGGTCTCCTCTCAGCTTACGAACCTTCTCCTCCCGCAGCGGCGCGGCCTCTCCTCCTCCGGCACCGCCCCTTCCTCCGGCCCAAATCCAACGTCCTCGCCCCGAGCTCGCCACGGCCTCGCGCCGCCTGCCCCCGCTGCTGTTGCCGCCCTCGCGCCCCTTCCTCTCACTCCCTCTCTCCCGACGTGGCGGCGCAGCGGGAGGCCCAAAACGCTGCTGCCTCCGCGCGCTGCCTGCGGCCGGAGCCGCCGCGCCCGTACCCCGCCTCCCCCCTGCGCCAGGCCAGCCGGGACCGCCACGCCCGTGCGCTCCCGCGGCGCCGCCAGCGCAGGCCCCTGATGCCGCTCCGGGGTGGACGGGGGCGCCACGTCCGCAGCCCCCGCAGCTCGCACACCCAACCGCGCAAGGGTGGCCGGGGCCGCCGACCCGGGGTCGCCGGACGGCTGCGGCCACGCCCGCTCGCTCGCACCGTTGCGCATACGCGTGGACTTCGAAATCGAGCTCTCCCAAATCACGCCCATGGCGCCGCACTTGAGCCACTGCCGGCAGCTCCGGCGACGGCCAGCCCCAGACACTGCCGAGGCAGGATCGCGGGCCTCACTGCGCCACTCACCGGAGCCCGCACCCGCACGCGCGAGCACTCAGCCGCGCAAGCCCGGCGCAGAGCAACCACCGGCCGGGAGCATTGTCTGACTTGTTGCTTATTAGCTTGTTGATGACGTCACCTGATGGCATGCCTACGAAATACGGCCGTTTCCCTTTACCAAAATAAATCTAGCAATACATTACAAATAGACACATACCACCAACAAACCTCGGTGGACATGGTTCACGGTGGACCAATCTTCCTGGTTTACTCAGTCGGGGGGAGATCTTAATTCCAGGTCTACTTCCATGACAGTAGCACTGACAGAGACAGTGATGGCAGATGTGCTGCTGGGTCACTCTATTTGCTCATGTGTGTGATGACAGTTTTTCAATTAATTAGAAATCTGCATGTAGCAGTAGTTTACTTGCTCGCTGGAACCGAAAGTGAAAAATTAAAGATGCTACAAAGTAGAAAGACAGGGTAAGTACTACGCGTATACGATATGTTTGGGGTGACATCATAATCGATAAACCAATTTTTTACAACAACATTTTTAAAAGTAGTTTAATACAATTATTTAATACAAATTTTTTTAATTTGAATAAAGCTTAGACTTGAAAAACAAATATCTTTTTATCGGTAGCTCTGATTTAGATGGTTTCTGCGCAGGAGGAATCATAAAAATAAGCTCTATGCGTCAGTAATGTTTTAATTACCTTTTCAAAATATTTTGTGTATTTATTCTTATTTTATTGCTATTAAGCATGGAATTGATCCTGTTGATTCCACACTGGCTAAAAGTTTCACTCGTAAAAAACTTATATGACAATGCAAAAAAAAAAAAGCTCAACAAAAAAATACAACTAACCAAAAAATGATCAAACTGATATAGTAATATTACCGATTAGTTAATACGATTCAAAGATAACGATTGATAGTTTCCACTCACCCACCCAAAAAAAAGGTTTCCTTTGCCTCTATGCTATAATCGGCTATGCTCAAAATGTCAATAGACCTTTTGCAATTCATCATTTCCATCATGATGTCATTTAGATGAACAACAAGAACAAAATAACCATATAACATCGAATAAAAATAAGTTACCTCCAAATATTAATATGTCAACGCAAAACACCACAAATTTTACTTTACCTTCACCCACTCGACATGAGGAAGTATAACTCTTGACTCAAAATCACTAGGGTCCTCTAAATAGCATTAACAAATAGACATAAGCAAACATATTAGATAAGGTGAACCTTACATGTATTAATATTACCATATTATTCTTGGTAAAACCATATATTTAATATTCTCAAATTCCACTGGATAATGGTAAAAAAAACACGAATGAACAGAGAATATATAGTGGAGAAGCGCGGCAACGCCGCGCTACAGTTTTCTAGTACAGTATGGATTTGACAACTTTTAAAAGTAAAACCTTGCTAATCAGTTGATAAGCTAATTGTTAATTTTATTTATGCATGTGAACATTCTAGATAAAGGGAAATTTATTTCATCAAGCAAGTAAAAAATATCCCAGTCTTAGCATCGTGAGATCAAGCAAATGAAAAATATCCTAGTCTCAACATTGTGAGATGCTTGTGACCATGCTTGTGACCGTAAATTATTACATCTTTTACATATCAATCCTGTCTCCAAAAGCTGGCCAACCAGCCTGCCACGTCGCGTGCTTTTCTAAGCCGTTCGATCGGGCGAGCGGAAGGCCAAGATCAAGTGAGCCGCGGTCATTTTGCTAAAAAACCATTCTGTTTTTCTAAAACCACACTTCAAAGACCCTCTCAGTATATTTTTCAAAAAACATCTCAGATTATTTCAAAATCAACCCACAGTCTGCGAAAGAATAGTTCGCTCTGTGTGCAACGCGCAGAGCAACGCGCAGCTGCGTGATTTCTCATGGCTGCCCTGGCCCTCCTTTTATGGTTCTCCCTAGACTGCAACTGAGCTAGAGCAGCGAGGCGGTGCTAAGGCCGCGTTTAGTTCGCTGCCGAATCGGTGTTTGTACAGTGTTTGATGTGACGGTGAACACTGTAGTAATTTCGTTTGTATTTGGTAATAATTATCTAAACATTGACTAATTAGGCTCAAAACGTTCGTCTCGCAAAGTACAATCAAACTGTACAATTAGTTTTTGATTTTGTCTACATTTAATACTCTATGCATGTACCGTAAATTTGATATGACGAGGAATCTTCTTTTTGCATAGTGCCAAATTCAAGAATATGGGGAACTAAACATGGCCTAAAACTGCTAATGCCTCCGAACTCGACTGTTTCACTGCGCACTCTGCTGTGCGGCCGCGGCTGCGCGACGCGAATTGGGCCTGGCCCGTTACTCCTTGAGAGTGCCATTCACTCCTCACCGCTAGGCTGGCCCAGCAGAAGTCACTCCCTGGGAGTGCCAATTCTTGCTCTTTCTCTAACTTTCCACGTCTTTTCTTTTTTTCCCTTTCTATAGACATTTCGAGGTTGAAGAAAATGCTAAATACGAGAAAGCGCATCACATATTCACATCAACATGTTGATACGTACGTTGGTTGGAGAATAAATAAGATTTTCTTTGTGTACTCAAATATGTGGTTTTTAGTTCAAAGGTTGCCTACAAAAAAAAGAAGAGGATTTGGTAGCTATAATAAGTATTTTATAAATTATTACAAAAAATACAGCTTTGCGTAGTACTCCGTACTGCTTTGCTTGTATTTCTTTCTTTTCCATAATAGTATAGTAGTATTGCTGCCGGCCCTTATCTTTTTTTTTAAAAAAAGATCCTAGCCATTCTTGATCATGGGACGAATAAGTGTAGCTCCTACCAACTCATCAAGATACGAAGTTGATCTGAAATCCTCACGAGTATAACTATGCAGTGCATCCATAATATGGCATGTTTTAGTAAGAAATTTTTCATATAAACTTTTACCTATGCTTTTTAGGGGTAAATAAAATTATACCTTCATGATGATAAAGTCTCAAAAATACATAAAAAACATAAAATGAAAAAAAATGCTAAGTTTCTCGTCACTACACCTATATTCTTATTGTCACTGGACTAATCGAAAGGGAAGACGCGGCAAAGCCGCGTCCGCGTTTCTAGTTTTACTATCACTAGTAGAGAATAGACCTTTGATCCTCGGTCAAAATGGGCTCTAGTCCCGGAATTTTTTGCCCCCGGGACTAGAAATACCTTTAGTCCCGGTTGGTGGTTCCACCGGGGCTAAAGGTATACTTTTACTCCCGGTTGGTGGCTCCAACCGGGAGTAAAGGTCTACTCCCGGGCCGTGGCTGCGCCCGGGGTTGGAAAGTTACCTTTAGTCCTGGTTGAAGCCACCAACCAGGACTAAATGTCCTCCCTTTATTTATCGGCCGTCTCCTTCTTCCTCTCCGAGCCCGAGCTCAGCACATTTTGAAGCTCACTGCACTAGTGTTCTTGCTTCCTTCCTCCCTCCATTGTTCCTCCATCCATTCTTCGATTCCTCCGTCGATTTCTTCGATTCCTCCGTCGATTCTTTAGTTGTAAAGGTTATCAATCTCATACTCTCATTTTTCACCATTGTCTTATGTCATTTTGTTCACTATATATATATGGTTCTTTATTGTGGTTTTTTCATTTGTAAGCAATTTGATCTCAAAATCACTTCAAGCTTGCATATTTACATGAAAGAAGGTTAAAGTATATATAAATATAAACTTAGAAAATAGTTAGAAAATTATAGAAAATCCGTACTAGTTGAACTTGCGGACCGTGTTCATCTCGACGAGCATGTTCTCTCGCCGAAGCGATAACGGACGTCAAGGAGGAGCTTTGATTCTACGAGGAGAGCGACAACGGTCGTGGAAGACCGTGTTCCCTTCCTCGTAGAATCGGAGCTCTTCCTTGACCAAGTACGGTGCCGTCCGGTGGAGAAATGCTCGCCGAGATGATCACGTAAGTAAGGTCAACTAGTACGGATGATTATTTATTCACATGTCTCGATATCGTCGCAGTAGTCTGTCAATCACCGTACCTAAACGTAGTATATATAAATATAAACTTAGAAAATAGTTAGAAAATTATAGAAAATCCGTACTAGTTGAACTTGCGGACCGTGTTCATCTCGGCGAGCATGTTCTCTACCGAGCGGTAACGGATATCAAGGAGGAGCTTTGAGTCTACGAGGGAGAGCGACAACGGTCGTGGAAGACCGTGTTCCCTTCCTCGTAGAATCGGAGCTTTTCCTTGACCAAGTTCGGTGCCGTCCGGTGGAGAAATGCTCGCCGAGATGATCATGTAAGCAAGGTCAACTAGTACGGATGATTATTTATTAAAATATGTTTTTGAGCTATAATGTATTAAAAAATAAGTATAGAGATCTAGATAATTTTATAGTTTCTTAATTTTATTTGTTTATAAAAGGAGAAATTTATAGTGTATTAAAAATGAGTATAGAGAGTAGATGGCAATCGCTTCGGGTCCTCGGCCTCTCATGGGTTTCCAAAGCGACTTAGGCGGGCCTCCCTCTCATTCCATGCGGCAAGTGTCGTGATGAGGCGAAGATTGTGATGGAGTACCGAGTGAAGAAGGAGGGTCCCAACAAGGATCGTATCTTCTACAAGTGTCCGGATCGCAATGTGAGTTATTTTATCGTATTTAATGATTATGGTTAGTTTATACCTATTTTCATGATGGTTGTGATTAAAATTCTAATTTTTGTTTTAATTTCAGTGGGATGGCGGTGGGCGATGTTGGGGCTTCTCTTTGGGAGGAAGAGTATGTTGAACTCGTGCAAAATATCTTGCACAACAAGCGAGATCTGGCTGACTAATGAGGCGGTGATCCGGTGAAGAAGCCCAAAGATGTTGCACAATCGGGGATACATCATTTTAGTTGAGATTGGTCGTGAAATCCTAGTGCTACTTTGAAATGTATTTTAGCTTT